AGACAGACAGACAGACAGACAGACAGACAGACAGACAGACAGACAGACAGACAGACAGACAGACAGACAGACAGACAGATAGACAGATAGATAGATAGATAGATAGATAGATAGATAGATAGATAGATAGATAGATAGATAGATAGATAGATAGATAGATAGATAGATAGATAGATAGATGATAGTATATAATTGGGTGGATTTTTGTGTGATGGGGCGGTTTTTAAGACTTTTGGGCTGGAAAACCTTGACTCTATCTGGCAACACTGTGTAGAACGTGTCTGATCCCAGTGTGAAACAGGTCAAACCCCTCCCCCCCCACCACCACCACCACCCCATTGATTCAACCTTCTAACTCTAACAAAGGTCAGCAATCTTGTGCGACAATCGTTTCAGATCAGCACTACGACTCCGAATGTAATTTCTGCTCAGAACAACAGGCGTTAACTTTAGTTACACACATCATTTCTCTTGTTAAAACAAATAGTTTTATAGAAGTGGTAAACAATGTTCCTGTGGGATGAACAAGTGTATATTTTTTTTAATTATGACAAATTTCCAAAAGCTCTCACAGAATTGTACAGAAAAAATTACCCAACTTCTGCTTTACTTGATAGAAAAACAAATTTACCGGTGCATCAGTTTAAGAAAATACGTCGTACAACTCCATCTATGTGTCTGAACTCTTGTGGTTACCGTGTTTGCATGTGGACTTAGAACTGTTAAACATAGGACAGCAGAAGGTGTTTATCAGTAAACATGCCTCTCTTTGTGATCAGCACTTGCTGGAATCCTGATAACGACACGATAAAAGTGCTCTGCAGACAATATTCACGTTTTGAGTTGAGACCTTCATGAACATGTTTCGGAATGATTAGATCATTTACAAAATGTATTTATTTCACGTTAAACATGTCAACATGAATAGCTTTACAAAAACAATACAAAACTATAGTTTACCAGCTTGTTTTGTACCTCACTGAATGTCAATAGAATTTTAAAATCCTGATGCAATAATTTTTTTTACTTATTTTAATCATTAGGCCACACTAAAATCTGCTGGGTTGTATTGATAACTTAATTGGTGATTTAAAGCTGCTGGATCATGGGGGTGCGTTAGTTTGTTGTCTCTACAATACGTGACTACAATTGCCAACACACCCATTAGTACAAACACTCATAGCAGCCCATACAGTTTTCAATGGCACAGCTTTTTAGCTGGGTTTAAGCTTGAAGAAAACCGATAAAATGAAATTGAATTACATCAGGAGGACCACACGATATTGCACGTATGCTACCTGTAACAGTGAGGTGATCTCCCTCACATGGAAGGGGTATTTTTTGTCACTTTTCCCAAGCCGAAAACGCAGTCAGAGAAGTTTGATTGCTGGAATACAGAAATGGAACGAGCTGGATTTGGCCGGGCACAGACATGACTCGGTTACACAGTACAGTGATAATACTACTATATACACAAATTTTAGATATCAACATTAATCCATCCATTATCTTTACCCGCTTCTTCCTTTACGGGTCGCTGGGGTCATTGGTGCACATATCCAGCTATCGCTCTGTGAGAGGCGGGGGACACCGTGGACAGGTCTCCAGTCCATCACAGGACCACAGAGACAAACAAGACAACTATTCCCTCTCTCCCTCACACCTAGGGATCATTTAGAGTTACTAATCAGCCTAACATGCATGTTTTTGGCCTGTGGGAAAAAACTGGAGTACCTAGAGAAATCCCACACATGCACGGAGAGAACATGCAAGCTCCACCCAGAAAGGTCCCTGGCCGGGATTTGATCCGGTGACCTTCTCGCTGAGCGGCAACAGCTCTACAACTGCGCCACCATGCCACTATCACCATCCAAGTTTCTTAAAATGATGAAAAAGCACTTACTCGAGTGATAAATGCACAAACACACGGCAAGTGAGAAGACGATACAACAGTCCCCACCTTTTTATCAATTCCACTCACTTTCCAGTCTCTCAAAAACCTCAAAAGTCCAGCCAACGTTTCAACTGAAAGTATGTGTATTTTCAAACATGTCCAACTTAGTGTCGAGGACGTCTTTTCCTGTTAAGGTTATATGATTTAATTTTTGTGATGAAGTCATGCCGTTATACTAACATTCGGGTTCCTGTGAGAGGGGGCAGTGGAATATCTATGCAAATATGTGTGACGTCATGAGTGGAGATCCCCATTAGACCTCTCTACTTTAGTATATATTAAAATGGTAAAAACAACTTTTAGCAAGATATTTAATCTACCTTTATTATCTATAATGCCATATTTATCATGTAAAATTACACATTTCTCTTAGTAAGTTTTTTTCTTCATTTTACCTCTATCCCTATACTTTCAATTTGTATATTAGCTGACTATGTGGGGCTTCACTGGCAAAGTTAAAAAAATAAAGACTATAATAATTTAAAAAAAATAACATTAGATAAAAACCTCTATGTTCGAACATTGAGAGACAGTAAGTTTGACCGAAAACAAGGCCACAGTTTCGAATACCGGATCTGAAGGGTCTGGTGGGCTGGAGGGTCTTCACAAAACTCTGGACCGGAATTTAAAATTAAAAGTTTAAAAAATAAAATAAAATTGGGGGGCATACGCTTTTTATTAAAAAAATGTTGTAAAATAAATATTTTGTCAGTTTCAAAATAAAGTCCTTTCTTCTTCTTTTGGCTTTTCAAGGGTCACCACAGCGAGTCATTCTCCTCCATCTCACTCGGTCCTCACTCCAACTACCTCCATGTCCTCTCTAACTGCATCCATATATCTCCTGTCTTTTTCCAGGCAGCTGCATTTCTAAGATTCTTCTACCAATATACCCACTGTCCCTCCTCTGGACATGTCCAAACCATCTCAGTCTGGTCTCTCTAACTTTATCTCCCAGATGTTCAACCTGTGATGTACCTCTGATGATCTCATTCCTTCTTATCCATCCTTGTCACTCCTAAGAACATCAACATCTTCATTTCTGCCACTTCCAGTTCTTTCTCCTGGCTTTTTGTCAATGCCACTGTCTCCAGACAGTTTAAAATTTCAAAATAAAGTGAAAGTGTTATATGTAAACAAAATATCCTTAATGAGTTAAATAAAATTAAAAAAAAAGTAATTTAAATTTGATAATTTTCCAGGCTGAGATAGCTCTAAGAGACTAGGAATTTGTGAGGAAAAAATATAAAAACAAAAAGTATTTTTAATCAGCTAAATAAAGTGGTTGGTGTTTTCTCCGAGGAACAATAACTGTCATAAAGTTAATGGGACTTCCAGTTTAATAAACTCATTAGGACATCATCAAGCTAAAGGTGGTGCAATGAAGCACTGGATGTGTGGATTTTGTTTATTTTTTGCCCAGGCAATGCATTAGTGCACCATAATTACTAGTACATTACCGGTAAATTACTGACAGATTAATCTGTCAAGGCACCACTGAAAAACAATTGTATTACAAAATGAAATCAATTTAATATACACTTAAATATATGAAAATCACCATTTCTGATCAATGAAATTTGTGCAGTTATACATCGTACAATTAACTCTCCTCAAAAGGGGAAAATGATCTTAAGGCTTCACGATTGTCAGAACTTCAGGTACGAGGAAAAACATTCTTGCAGGTCTAAAACCGAACTTCTTTGACGGTGGAAGGTGCATCCAGGCTTTCAGAGCTGCTGTCGTTAGGACCCTGTCGATCAGAGGAAGCAAATTCATGGTTTTAGCAACTCGACACAGAAAGTCATGTTTACCAAAAGCCGACTGCAAACACAAACATTAAGCATGAACATCGAAGTACATCTTTCAGTTTATTGGTACTCTGTCTCGAGCATCAGACATGGACATGTTGTGATATTTTCGTAGTGGCTCTTTGTTCATTGCACAGTTCTGTTGATCTGACAGCTGGTTGATTTACCTAACTACCTGTACCTACCCAACTGTATAATCAGGTCTCTCTTGTAAATGAGTCCTCGAGGCTCAATGAGACTAACCTGTACAAATAATGGTTGAATGAATGCATACATAGGCCTGTCGCGATAAACAATAAATCAATTAATCGCATGATGAATGAAAATTATTGACCTCATTTTCATTTATTGGCTTTAACGTTTCTTCATGTCTCTCTCTTTCTATTGAAGACACGGCTCAACTCCGGTGCTCTTCACTGACCCATCCCTTTCTCTTTTCTCTTTAAAATCCATTTTAACCATCCAAAATTGTGTTTTTGGATTGTTAAAAGCAGCTAAGCTGAGAAGCTAAGATACGAGCTAACAGGTCGACCTCGGGAATAAACCTCCGTCTTGTTGAGCTCCAAAATTCACGGTTGAAACCCGTGCCTTCGTGTAAAAAGTTGTTTTTCTCTGCAAAAAGAAGCTGAGAACTTGTTTACTGCTTTATTATTATTATTATTTATTTTATTAAAAGCTTTGTGTGAAAAATGCTATGCTAAAGAGCTCAAATCACAGAGCGTCCGCCATGTCACCATGTCAGCCCAAGTCAGCCCATGTCACGTCAAGGGTCCTCCCTCCCATTTTTCTTAAAGAAACACGCTGCTCAACTATCCATCCTTTGGTTCAGTTTTATACTGCCATCAAGTGGCCAAAAACGGTACTACACTCCACAAACAAATCAACATTTCTTCTAAAATTTGACAATTAATTATTGTTAAATTTCAAACAATATTATTGTTTATTGAAATAATTTCTGAGACAAGCGTCCAGCAAAATTTGTTATCGTGACAGGCCTATATATACATGTAGGAATGCGCGATATATACGGTACATGGTAGAAACGATAGACATTTAGCCTACAATAGAGATCTGTATTCTACCGGCTAACCGCAGTACTGCTGTCTGATGTAAAATCAGAGTTGTCAGATTTAACCGTTTTTTGTTGTTTTTTTTTAACTGTGTGTAAGTGGTGTTAAAGTGTAAAATCAGAGTTGTCCAATTTAATCGTAAATTTTTTTTAGTTAAAAACTGTGTGCAAGTGGTGTTAAAGTCCTTTCTTCGAGAGCTAAGTAGCAAAGCTACAAGCTGTCTATGGCCGGCTTGCCGTAGTGTTGTCGTATTCGGATGCATGCGCAAAACGCTGTGTTCCGTCAAAACTTTTTTTCCCCCGTCGAATGTTAAAAGTAAGTGTTGGTCAGCTTTAGAGAAACCTGCTCTCTGATCTGTGAAAAGAACACTGTGCTGTGTGATTTTACTGCGAGACCCTCTGGTCCAAGCTACAGAGGAAACTGGTCGCCATTTTGTGTCTGCTCTCCTTAAAGCAGAAGGAGACGCCCACTAGAGGGTTGGAGGGTGAAGTGTTTTCAGTGTAAAATGCTGCTCTATTGCTGTTCATTTCTTAAGTGACACTACTGGAAACTGTTAAGAGATAACAAATTATTATTTTGCTTAAAACATATGGCTAAAACTACATTTGATATATGTTGCACTGTTTTGCACTACAAGAAAGAAACCTAGTACTTTATTTGTTTTGTATTTAAAAACTCTTGATACCTAGTAGTGGAATTTTCTTGAAAGAGATTATTTTGTGGTACAGCAGTTTTCCAAATAAATGATGGCAAAAGGACACCCTATTCCTATTGCAAGTTTTATACCAAAAACATATGCTATATATCATTATCGCCACCCTTCACAATCCATATCGTGATATGAATTTTATGCCATATCACACATCCATATATGGTATGGTATGGTATAAAGCTTATTAATTTAAAAAAAGTACAAAACAATTCCATAACAATATAAAAAAAGATACAAAAGATTTAAAATGAAAGGCAGCAGAAAGAAGAAAAAATCTTATTATATCTGCTCCTTTTTTCAAACAATTATTTCAATCATAATAATTTTCAAGTAACAGAACAAAATGAATAACTCTTTCTAATTTTTTCTAATTCTAATATCTAATTCTAATTTGTCTAATATATACATGCATATGATGAAGGTCTTGAATTGAACAGGACCAACAGAACATAAGCGCTGAGGGAAATGACCAGACAAAGAGAAGCAGAGAGAAGCATTTACCAAACATAAAAAAGAGCAGAAGTGCATCAACAACAACAAACTCAAATAAAAAGGTAAAAACTGATCTGTAAATTTATGTTCAAATGAGGCTGACTGGGACGAAACAATCCTGTGATCCATAGCAGAGAAATGCATTTGTTTATGTAGATTTTAAATCTAATGCACAAGAAAAAAAAATAAAAAATCATAACCTAAAAGAATTCGTATAAAAGTGCCTGTAAAGACATTAATAATCGATTGCACGATTAACGATTGCAACAAGCAAGTATTTAAACCTGTAAAAAATATAGTTGGACTAAATACATTCAAAGCTTTACTGACAAACACACAAATCAATAAAGACGTTAGCTGAAGAGTGGAATTTTATTTGAAGCCAGTGGTGTGAAAAATAATTTAAAGACAAAGATTTATACTGATTAAAAAGGTTAGTGTTGATCTTCAGAAACAAAGTTAAACAGTAACCAGTGCAGGGTGAAATGATTACAGCATTAGTGTGTGATCGCTCTGTGCTCCTACCTCCATGATTCTGTGAGTCGAGCTACAATTTGAGGGATTTTTTTTTCAGCAACAGAAAATTTGATTGTTCAGCCTTGAGAAGGAGAAGTCTGCGGCTCGGAGAGAAGCGTCGTTGCTCCGTAGTTCAGCCCCGCCATCTTTCCCTGCACCTAAAACAACAGCTGGTGATCACTTCTCAGTCAGGGGGTTGCAGAAGCTTGAGGCTCCGGTCTGAGGTGAAGTTCAGCTCAATCTGAGCTTTTAGCTTTGCACCTCTTTTGAGGTCAAACTCAAGAAATGCTACAATAAAAGAATAGTTTTTTTGGGTTTGCTGGTGTCATTCGCCAAGATATGGTAATCCTAATAAATTGAAACAAGAGACTTAAAGGACATATTTTCATGTCTCAAAGAGCCAAACTAGTACTTAATGTGACTCGGACATATCTGGAAGTAAAGTGAGGAATTTGTGGAAATATGACCCAGGGATTTCAGTTACAGTAGTTCCCGTCTGTTACTTCACCGCAGACCGAGGAGACCCATTCAGAAGTAGAAATAAGGATTTTAATTTGGATTTAACTGAGCAAGAAGGTTATCAAACTGAGAAGGTAATGGCGAGTGGGAGACATCGTCACAGGTAAATTGGACAAACCAAGACATGCTCCCAACATCCAAACAAAACTGTAAACTTATTTATAATAAAACAACTCTAGATTAAAACTAACATTCTCATATTGAAAATTGTTACAGCCAATCGGTGCTCCAAGCAAAGCTAAAGATGATCCAACATTTTAGAGCATGTGACAATATTAGAGCATGTGACAATATTAGAGCATGTGACCATATTTCAACTTCTCTAGCATCAGGTCTGAAACTGTAATAGTTGGTCCACATTTAAAAACAGTTTCATGACAACAAGCAGCACAGAGTTGGTTGTTCTTGGAGCAGCAGTTGGCGTATGTCCAACTTTATCTCTAAGCTCTGCGTGCAAACTCATAAAAAAATAAAAAATGCAACTCGTAGAAATTCCCAACAGACGTGTTTACATGTCACAGTAATGACCAATACCTGCCTCTGGCATTCATTCACGTATTAGCCTCTTTGCTTAAAATGTTATTTAAATTATTAACATTTCTACACTAATGCTGTTCTTACTGTGAAATGTAAAAACAATATTTAAAAAAAAAAACATTTTGCACGTTGTTCCTCCAGGGAACTAAACGAGCATTACCCCACACCCGTGCCCATCATGCTTCATCACTTACAGCTGCTTTGACCTGCTGGTTTGCGTTTTGCCTCCGTAGATCGGACTTTATGAAACCTGCAGATACAGACACAGAGCGGGGGCAGAAGCTCGGACAAGATCATAATATAATGCCAAGAACAGAAACTAAATAACCATAGAAATAAACCTGTAGTTTTATAAAAACAGACAATGTGACTCATCTGAACGCTGCATTAAAAATACTGAAAATGTTCTAAGTTTACAGATTAATACTAAAGACTTTCTTTGTAGCACAAAGCTGATCTTTCCCTTCAGAATTAAAACAAAGTGGCTCCATTCGCCTAAACGCTGACTCAATAAATGAGTCAGTCTGTCGACCTTTGAGAGCAGTGTCTTGTTTCTGTCCAAGTGAGCATGTTTATCGCCTCAGATGTTAATCCATATTTATAAAAGTGATCCATTTCTCATGAAAGACATTAGTGTGTGTGTGTGTGTTGACTGAGGCGTGATGTGTCACGTCTAATGTGTAAAAACACACGGCTACTGTACATGTCAGCTGCACGTTTGAAAACGTACAAATACCCTTCAGATCGAGTCCAGCTTTATGATTTTGAAAAGCTGGATTTCACGTGGTTGGTTTATATATTCACCCATATTTGTCCAAAAATATTTTAATATGCAACTGTGCACCCCTCTATTAAAAACACTTCTAATGACTTTCATATAGCCAAATAATCTTAAATGATTACATTTAATTAGGACTTGTACAACACTTGCGCTTTTCTAGAACAAAATCTTGCCTTATTATTGCCAATCACCATCAAACTGGGTGATTGTGAAGCTGCCTGCATGTGTGTGTGCTTATCTGTCTGTTAGCAAAATATCTCATGAACCACTGGATTGATTTTAATAAAACTCTCAGGGGAATAATTACTGGATGAACATCAACAACTGATTAATTTTTGAAGTCAACCTGATTTAAGAAGGCCACCATAGCTAACTGCCATGCGCAAACACAAACATAGCTCTAGCTCAGTCAGTTTTACAGATTTACAGCTAAAATTTGGCGTGGTAGTAGCTGAGAGTCTTGTCCATAAAAACAATCTGAGCGTCAAAAGATTGAGGAAGATATTTGTTTAAAATTTTGGAATTAAGTGACAGAGTTAGCTCTATATGTCTGTTAGTAAAATATCTCATGAACCGGTGGACTGATTTTAATGAAGCCTTTAGAAACAAATAAAAAAAAAATGTAAATCTACGACTAATTCAATTTTGGGGTGAACCTGATTCAAGATGGCCACCAATGAGCAAATACAAAAATGGCTACAACTCAAAAACTTGGTGCGGCAGTCGTTGAGAGTTATCTGCGTCACACTGAGTACAAACAGGCTGAGCAAGATCTTCATTTAAATCTTTGGCATTATACATTCCTTCAAGAGAGGCCAAACTCTTCTCTTTAATAATTTGTATATCTTTATTGCAGTGCCTGCTGAACCACATTTGTGACTGCTCACCCAGCTTCTCTGAAGACAAAACAAAAGCTCTTACTGGAAATAAAATAAAAAAAGGTCTCACTTTACAGGAAACATTTTATCCATTGCCTAAAATTCAACCCCATAACGTCAAAATGCTCAGTATCTAAGTAGTACATTCGTAGAATTGGCGTCAGCATTAGTGACATAGTAACAGAATTAAAGACTTTACAGACATGGAGGGATTTAACGCAACCACTCAAAACGAGTGCACGCAGTCAGAAAGGTCGTACCTGTCATTATTGCTCCTATTAGCAGAAAGACACAGAGGAAGATGTTTCCTGCCAACGTGCTGTCAAACCTGTCAATGATTTTCCCTTGGCAGATGGTGAATATGATGCCAAACACCTATGTGTGCAGAACATGCAGTTAGGAGGGAAGCTGCAGTTTGCATGCACCGACATGCACAGAGGCACTCACAAACACTCACATATTTACAACAGAGTCATCGTGTTCAATCCTGCTGTGACGAAACCGTTCCGCACACTTAAAATGCTAAATGTGATATTGTCGGATCTAAAACAAATGTATGCACGGCCGAACTGATTCTGTCAATCATTCAAGAAAAGGTACTTTGGCCCACTGCATTTTATCTGCTCATGCACATCAATGAAGGTATTTTATTTTATTTGTTTATTTATTGCATGGTTTTTGCGCCAGGTGACTGGACTGTACCTGTGCTGAACAGTTCAGCAGTCCTGAGGAAGTTCCTTCCGACTCTGGGTACGTCAGCTCAACTGCAAATTCAAAGCCCAGCGGCAGGTAGCCCGTCATGAAGAACCTGGACGCACGCACAGGAACGACAACATGCTCAGATCATAACGTTTGAAGTCAGATTTACTGAAAGATGATTCAACTGCAGCTTCTATCTCCGTTCTACAGCCCTGTGTAACATTTAAAGGATTATAGGAGACGGAGTTCTGCCTCTCCCTCATGGGAGCGCCTTAACAAGTCCCAAGCAGATGGAAACTTTGTACCTACGAAGCAGGTTTTGGATTGCATTGTGAGAGTGGTGACCTTGAAAGGAGTTCAGTGACAATGGCCGCTTTTTTTGTTTGTTTCTCAAACAAGTGCAAGACATTCTACTGACTTGATAAGAGACAAGCAGCAGCAGCAAAATACATCAGCCTGAGTCTTTACTACACAAAAGTACTCCAAGACAGGATTGGTGCTTTTCTTTACCTATTAGTTCACTTTAATTTAAGACTGGATTTTCAAGACATCTTAAATGTGATGCCTAGAGTTCATTTCAGAGGTGAAAACACAAAAAAATACATTTATTTTTGCAAATATGTTTGTATTTTTTCTATATTTCCACATGTAAGAAAGGCTACAGTATAGTTAGCTTTTCACTGTCTGGCATGTACCGGGTATGTAAATGTTTTATAACATAAGTTGGGTAAATTAAGGGTCCATTCAATCTGTGGAAGACCAACGAGCGTCACTGAAGGTGTCCTGATTCAGTTGCCTTCATCTACCGTGCCTGAAAAATGTCTTTATACTCCTTGAATGCTTTCCCCATTTTACCACTTCACAACCACAAATTTCCAAATATTTTACTGGGGTTTTACGTGACCGTCCAACACAAAGTACTGTCGTGTAAAACGGTGCAGAGAAAGAAAAATGACACTTGGTTTTCACGTTTCTTGACAAATAAAACTTGTTTGTATTCCGTGCCCCAAGGTTAATACTTATTCGAACCATCACCACGATTTTTTACACATCCAGACATTGAAAACTTTTGACAATTTTTCTTTAGAAAACAGGTCAAGCTTAGTCAGATTGGATGGACAGCGAAGTGAAGTTTTCAAGTCTTGCCATAGATTCTCAGTTGGACTCAAGTCTGAACTGTGCCTAGTCCTTCTAATGCCTTGCATTGGTCTGGTTGTATGTTTGGGGTTGTCATGCTGGAAGGTGAATCTCTGCCCCAGTCTGTGGTATTTTGCAACCTCTGACAAGTTTCCTTCGAGGACTGCTTTGTATTTTTTTATTTTTCATCAACTCTGACGAGACTGCCTTCTCAACAACTTTACCCCTGACTTATCTAGTGTGTTCCTTGGTCTTCATAATGCTGTTTGACCATTAATGTTCTGTAACAAACCTCTGAGGTATTTATGCTGAGATCAAATTACACACAGGTGTACAATATTTAATAATTAGATGACTTCTGAAGGCAGTTGGTTCATTGAACTGGTTTTGAGTTTAGAGGTAACAGACTAAAGGAAGTCCTTTTCAGTTGTAATTTGCAATTTATGAAGCTAGATGGGGCAACATCCAATAAAACAACAAAAAAAAAATGATTAAAGTGCCAATACCCAAGAGTTCCAGAGGTGATAAAGACCACCCAGAGGCGTTCAAGGCTGAGCGTGGCAGCGAATACAATCATCCCCACCAGAGACATGAAGTACACTGCGAATGTAGTCTGCCTGGAGAAACACACAGGAAATACACACCACTGTATTAATCTTAATGAAACAGTACATTTAAAGTTATCTGGAAGAGGTCCCAATGTTAAATGAAGTCAAGGGATTTAGAAATCTATAAAACAAATAATTTTATGGTATGCATTGCACCGGCCATGTAAATCCCCTCTTTCTCTTTCTGGCTTTCCCCTCTTCAGGGGTTGCCAAAGCGAGTCATCCTCCTCCATCTCACTCTGTCCTCTGCATCCTCTGGCCTCACTCTAACTATCTACATCACTGTATCCATATATCTGCTCTTTGTCTTTTTCCTGGCAGCTGCATTTCTAACATTCTTCTACCAATATACCCACTGTCCCTCCTCTGGATATGTCCAAACCTTCTCAGTCTGGCCTCTCTAACTTTATCTCCCAGTTGTTCAACCTGTGCTGTACCTCTGATGATCTCATTCCTAATCTTATCCATCCTTGTCACTCCTAAGGAGAACCTCAACATCTTCATTTCTGTTACTTCCAGTTCTTTTGCCTGTCTTTTTGTCAGTGCCACTGTCTCCAGACCATACAATATATCTGGTCTCACCACTGTCTTGTAAAATTTTCCTTTGACCTTTGCAGACACCCTATTGTCACAAATCACTCCTGAAACTTTTCTCCATCCACTCCATCCTGCCTGGACTCTCTTTTTCATCTATTTACCACACTTCCCATTTTCCTGGACAGTGGATCCCAAGTACTTGAAGTCCTGCACCTTTGTGACCTTTGCTTCTTGTAGCCTCACTGTTCCACCAGCCTCCCTCTCATTCACACACGTACTCTGTCTTACTACGGCTGACTTTCATTCCTCTTCTTTCAAGTGCATACCTACACCTCTCCAAGTTCTCTTCCACTTGTTCCCTGTTACCACAGATCACAATGTCATCTGCAAACATCAAAGTCCCCAGGGATTCCAGTCTGACCTCATCTGTTAGTTGGTCCATCACCAAAACAAACAAGAAGGTACTCAGTATTGATCCTTGATGCACCTCCACCTTGAAGGTATATGTCACTCCTACAGCACATCTCACCACTTTCCTGCTGTCCTCATGCATGTCCTGCACCAGTCTAACATCTTCTCTGCCACTCCAGATTTCCTCATGCAATACCAAACCTCCTCCCTCAGCACCCTGTCGTATGCTTCTTCTAAATCCACAAAGACACAGTGGAGTTCAACAAAGTTAAGTCAGGTCCTCTGACCGGTTTCTTTTGACTTCTTATGTCGGATGTCCTTCCTAACACAACCATCACTTGGGACCACCACAAGAGCTACACTGGCTTGTGCTCTCTAGTGGCTCGTTTCGAGCCATGCAAACCCACAAGCATAATTTATGAACTCCAATGTACATTGATTGCATGATTAGCATGTTGGAACATGCACAATAGTTTTACAAGAAAAAAAATTTGTTAACATAAAATTTGCAGAAAGAAAACAAAAACAACATAAAGGGATGCACGATATTATCGGCATGTATCAGTATGGGCCGTTCAATATCGGACATTGGCCATTCCATCAAAATAACTCGCCGATATAAAAGATGCTGCTTTTGCCTGCAGCAGCAGCACAACATGATGATGTCACATGCGCCTACCTGATCTCATGGTGGAGAGGAAAATTCAAAATGTCGGCAGTGTGGATGTTTTATTTTTCGTTGGTGAGGATGTCGGATTCTGAAGATTTTTGGACTACGTTGAGCCTCGCTACATCGTCCCCAGTTGGAGATATTTTTCCAACGTAACCTTTCTGACGTCATTGAGAATCTAATAGCCGATAGCACTTGGGTGAGTTTTACCACAGACATTTGGACGTCGTGTTAGCCCCGCTAGCATGATTAGTCTTACGGCACAATGGATAGATAAAAACTTTGATCTTAAAAAGTCTGTCCTTCATGCACAGGAGTGCAGAGGATCCCACACTGCAGCTAGGAACCTGGAACAAGCCTCCACAAGTGAGACAGCATCGCAGGTGACTAATGCTAATAAATAACATTTAACACTTTTCATTTAATATAAGTTAAAGTGCTATGCATATCATATGGCTGTTACTGAATATATGTCACCAGCTCTTACAGCTGTTGCACAATTTTTATAGCAAATAAGCCTAAATAAGAGGGCTATGTTCTGACAAAGGAAAGTACATAAAATATCGGTATCAATATCGGTTATCGGCCAAATAAGTTTTAACGTACTGGCATATCGGTCAAAAATCCAATATCGTGCATCCCTACCCTACACCTTTACCAGATATCAACATAAAAACATACCACAATTATTATTTCTCGAAAATGTAAAATAATAAAATGCTAATCTAACATAAACTGAATTCAAAAGTTAGTTGGAGTTAAGAAACATTCTGTTTAGTCTATTAAACACAATAACATTTTGGGATTTTGCATGTTATACAAAATTCACACGTTTAATCGAAAAAGCTGCCAAATCGGACAAAGTGAAGATTTTGGACTCTGGTCTCTGAGACCAGTGGTCAGTAAACTGGGGAACAACTGTATTTGTTCTAAAAATTAACAAATTAAGTAAATAAGTTTTACTTAGCAGTCTTAATAATGTTAAAAACAAATTACGAGACATTTTTTCACATCTAAAAAAGCAGCTTCAATCAGTCATTTAACATAAGACCAACTAAAACTGCTCGACTGCAAAAATCCAGACGTTAGTGTGTTTATTGGCCAATGAAACGAGCTGAACGGGTTATTTTAAATATAAACTACAAACATTCCTGCATTTTAAAACTTCTGTTCTTAACTGAAGCAGGTGGGGAAATGATCAGTATGATAATGGTGTCAGTGGACGGTCTGAGAGCCCAGAAGTTCACAGAGAGGTCACAGCTGTGAGAGCAGGCTGCACCTGAACAAACGGCTCCACAGACCATCAACACAACAGATTCACACAAAACAACACGAGAAGAAGTCAGACGACAAGAGGAAAGAAAATAGAGTCACAATGTTTTGGTCATCTATAAAACCCCTTTTTAAAAATGTGCTTTCAGTGTCACTTTGTGTGTTTCTACAATCGACTACAGCTCGTCTGGAAGAAGATCTACGGCCCGGGTGTCGACTCACTTGTATGTTTTGGTTCTATCGAGCCAGATGCCGCAGATGAGTGAGCCGACCATGCCTGCAATGACAATGGTGAGCCCAATCCTTCCAGCATTCACCTCTTCTCCCTGGATAAACAATAAACAGAACAGAGCAGGAGCTTTACGGCCTGAACTCATCGAGAAAAGACAAGAAAACCCCGACTGAAACTAACTGAACCCCAAATTAAAAAACAGCAGCTTTTATCCAGATTAAATCTATTACCAAGTTACTCATTGATATTTGAGGTGTGACAGACAGAGTTGAGTCATTTGGACATAGTAGGTCACATAACATTAATGTTCCTTGCAGATTCAATCTGATTTGGCTGAGGAACTGATCAAGAGGCATCCTGTGTGCAGGGAAAAACATTAAAACATGAACCAGAATTCACGGCAGGTGAAAACAGAACTTACAGGGAAATGCTTCAGAATCATGCGGTTCAGGAGGGTTCCAACAGCGTAGAAACAACCCACGTTCAGACCTATCAGAGGAAAAACCATTTCAAACCCAATCTGCACACAGAAAAATTACAAAAAAAGTAGGAAACTTCCTTCATTATCGGAGTTTAATGCAGATTAAATCAATATTCCATAAGAATCCAACATTTTTCAGTCAGGTCATCTGGACAGTTTCTTTTTTGTGCGCTGAAACATTTTGCCTTCGATCCGGAAGGCTTCATCAGTCAAGTAAACACACAACAAAACTGATTCTTCCCCCAACAGCTTACTCAAAAGTGGAACAAACCAGTTTTGTTTGTGATAAGATTGTCTCTTTGGTACGCCCCCTACTCCATTGCCGGCCCTCTTCCTTGTTGGCAGTCGTGTCAAACTGGTTGAAAACCAAAGAAACTGTCCAGATGACCTGACTGAAAAATGTTGGATTTTATACCTGGATTATTGAGCATGGACTTTGTTGATTCCGTAAGAATCTTTCACTTGGTGACACAAGCACCAAATTAGACATGGATCTACCTTTTAATAAAATCACAGTATCCAACAAAGTTAAGTCAGGTCCTCTGGTTTCTTTTTGTTGAAACGTTTCGTCTTTCATCCAAAGGACTTCATCAGTCTGAGGAGCCACAACAAACTCCATCCCATAAGTAGCACACTCACATAGTGGACCAACCAGTTTGATGGTGATAAGATGGTGTAGGAGTCCCAGTATTTTCTCTCTACAGCTCTTCTACAACAGATGGCGCCAACAGGCTGACACTTGCGGACCATTACCCTAATGAGCTGTAGGGGTATAATTGGCAGTGATGACTTCTCCTCGACGCTGATGCATTACCTGCCAACCAGTAGTTGTGTTCCTGGCCATGTTTATGGTCCTAAAGGTTTTTGTCAAAACTATTTCCTTGCTCCTTTGTGTTTCAGCCTACTCCTGTGCTCCTCCTTCGTCCTGGACCTCCTTGTTTCCATTGTGAACCTCGCTCCAGTCGCTCCTTGCCTTCCACCACTTGCCCACCGATCCTTGCAACCTCTCTGGGACCTCCTCGAACAACTACTGGAACTATTATAATGCAGCTTTAGGCCTGATATCCAGTCATTTTCATACCTATCAGGAATTTAATTCATGTGACCAGAGTGGCTAACAAAGACCCTAACGAACCCCTATTGTGAGCAGTGACATGGCAATCTGCATATGTATCAAGTTTACTTCAGCTTTACAACTCGAACCCCACACTCTCTGTTCATTGAATTGAGAAAGCTCCTCGGATGAGAAGCGAAACGTCTTCTGTTACAAATAAAGTCCAGTTGTTTTTGTCTTCAACTTTTTTGAAGCAACCACTTTGATCTCAAGTGTTCAGCTTTGTGTAAATTTGATGAGTAGAGCGTAACAGTTACCATATTTTTCGTTGGGTTTTTTTTGCATAATTTACATACCCTGCGACTTATATGCCGAAGCGACTTATTTATGGATTTTTCCCCCATAATTATAAACCAAGTTTTGGCTGTGATCTGACCGTTTTCATTAATATTGGCTGAAAACACTGAACACCACCATTTTCAGCCACTAGATGGCACTCGAGTAGTAAGGCATGCTGTTGTGTCAAGTAATAGGTAAATGCGGATATTAATGATACAATCGGCTTGCCATAGCCTGCCACCTTCGTCCAGCTCGCCTGGAGCAACCGTCAAATCAGCTTCATTTTGCTGCGCTGCCCCGGTGAAATGCAGCTAATTTGACCATTGAAGTGCATTTATTAAATAAAAGTTCAACTGAGATACACTTTTGCTATAATTTCGAGCAAACAAATAATTGTTTTTAAGTGTTAATCTTGTTAAATTCTTGCTAAAGTCCTCCCGTGCACGCTTCTGCGGCCGGTATTTGGCAGCCAATTGATTTTTGGCACAACACCGGCCCACATTTCCAAGTTGTTAGCGGTGACGCTATTATGACTCGACGCCTCAGCGTTGACTCATAATAGATGCAACTTATATGGTAAAGCGACATATTTATGGATTTTTCCACTTTATTATATATATTTGGACTGTGACTTATACGGCGGTGCGACGTGTACGGTGGAAAATACGGGATGTGTCATTGTCAAATTTTCAATGGCAGAATGTGTGTAACCAGTCAATATCCATGAAATAATTCGAACAATAACACTGTTTTCAAATAACCTCACAAAACATTAAAGCCCCTATACTTTTATACTAGCAATTTCTTTTTAAACTTATAGACATTTTGATACCAGATTTGAATTCAGCATGCCCAAAGACCTTTACTTAGATGCAAAAAAAAAAGACTTATGAAGGAAGTCATTGTTAAAAATGGCAGCTATTGTTTTTTGTTTTTTTTTTCATGTGGACACCATGTTTTTTTGGCTAATATAGGTTTAGGAGATTATTTGTGTCAAATTTCATACTCGTATCACCAAGAGGAAAAATTGCTTTAAGTGCAGCACTTGTCAAATGATGTCATGAGCTGGACAATATATGTGTCTTCACAACCCAGGTCTGACTAGATCATTTATTTTTAACATTTCTGAACATTTGCAATACTATAGTTAGAATCATACATATAATAACAGTTATTTGTATTTTATTTGATAGTGTTTGTTAATATTAGTTCATGAGTTTCTTGAAGGTACTAAGAAAGTGAACAGAAGCACAGTTAACCTGCCAGAACGAGGTGAAGTTTGCAGAGAGGCAATAGAAATGTTCATCATCACTTAAAAAGTCCTTAGCAGGACAACAATCCAGAGAAACTGATGACCAGTGTCCACTAAAAGAACTGTCTCGTCACATGATGGGGTCACATGATGGGGTCACGTGATGAGAAATGAGGAAGGCCAAAGCAGAAAGGCTTCTTTGTGCAGCTACCTGTGAATGTTGCACAGAAACACTGACAGAATTTTAAAATCTGCCTGCAAGAATCCAAAAGATGCAGCCTCTTCTAAATTTATGTCAATTAATTGTGTGATTGTTGTTATATAAATTAATTATTGCTTAAAAATGTTGAATGTTAAAACAATGACCTTTCTAAAATCATGCTTAATGCATGCATGCAAATGCTTAATATATTCACTTTATAAGGATAAAAGCTAAAAACCAATATTTTTATATTTTGATGTGCAACTAACTGATTTATCCTTGGAGCTTAAAAATCCCAATCTAGACATAAAAAAACTTAAAGAAGTGCAATCATTTAGTCACACAGATTCAATACTTTAGTTAAACATTGCCAGATTTTGAACTTTGAACATCTGCAGGTCAGCTTCACTTCAATCTAGTAATATTCCAATTGCGTGTGCATTTATATCAACTTGAATGATAAGATAAACTCTAATACAAAGTTGAAAGAATACCCTGAAGTATTCTGGGAAATGGATTACTGCAGCAAAGAGCAAAAACGAGGAACAGGATTTATACCTGATCCAGGTAATAATTATTATCTGTAAAGCCTAAATCACCATGCTGCACTTTCAAATAAACATTAAAGCCCTCTGTGGTGTCCCTTTACAAAAACGTTAGTAAGAATTATTAGTTTTGGGGTTTTTTTTATGACCAACCATAAGTGATGAGGAGGAGGATGAAGGGTTTGTTGCGCAGCAGCCTAAGGATGGAGGTGGTGTACGAGTACTGCTCGGGGGGGATGCTGCGAGCGGTGGCCTGGGCCTGAGTCGGGGGAAGTTTGGGACGATCCTGGAAAACTGACACACACACACGGAGACACGGACAATGAGAAAAACACCAAAACGTAAACACTTTCAAACTTAAACAAAAGAACTCAGTCCAAAGTAAACCCATAAAACAACTCAAATAGATCTTTACAGAACACAGTTATTCTTAACAAAACAAAACAGAGGTTTAAATATCAGGACTTAGGGATGCACCAATCGCTCCACTGGTGACCAAAATAGAAAATAACGATTATAACGCATACAGCCCATTATATACCCATCGACAAACTATTAGACAGAAATCTATGGTAATGACCTGGACAAGCACCTACCTTGACCTTGATATGTGACCTTGACTTCAGAGCAGCATATGCATATTGTGTACCGTTTTGTTCAATTTGTTAAATTATCCAGAGTGACGTCATAGACCAGACAAGCAACGACCTCGTTTTAACTTTGACGTTGATTTGTGACCTTCACCTTGGAGCTGGGGTGATGAAAACTGTACAAGCACTTTGTCTCGTTATGATGCAAGAAATTTAGTTAAATTATCTTAAGAGACAAAGAAGTCATGGGCGGGACAAGAGAAAGTCTATAGAGAAGGCCTGCCATAATAAACAATAAATCAATAAATAGAATGATAAATTAAAATTATCAACCTCATTTTCATTTATCGGCTTTATTGTTTCTTTGTGTCTCTCTCTTTCTACTGAAGACACTGGATGACAAAAGACTCAACTCTGATGTTCTTCGCTGACCCCTCCCTTTCTCTTTTCTCTGTAAAATCCATTTTAATGATCCAAAAATCAAGTTTTTGGATCATTAAAAGCAGCTAAGCTGACAAGCTAAGCTACGAGCTAAGCTAACAGGCCGACCTCAGGAAAAAACTCCATCTTGTCTAGTGCTGGGCGATATGGACCAAAATTAATATCTCGATATTTTAAGATAAATGGCGATATACGATGTATATATATCGATATATTTTTCTTTCCATAAAGTAGTAGCAAAAATATATTTCTGACTCAAAGCTTTGTCCCAGTTGTCACACAGCTTAACAAAGCTGTAACTGTACAAAATAAATGTGTAAAAAAAAGTGCCTTCGTGTAAAAAGTTGTTTTTTTCTGCAAAAAGAATCTGAGAACTTGTTTACTGATTTTTTAATTTTTTTTATTATTAAAAACTTTGTGTGACAAATGCTATGCTAAAGAGCTCAAACCATACCGAGCATCCGCCATTTTGAGAAACGAACAACCGGAACAAGAGACAGTTCAAGTCACGTCAAGGGGCCTCCCTCCCATTTTTTCAGGCTCCTGAGTTAGTGGGGATGCTGTCTGCTCTGTGGTACAGAGTCCTGATGACTCCTAACTTGTGCTCCAAAGGGTGATGGGAGTCAAACTGCAAATACTGGTCTGTGTGGGTGGGTTTGCAGTACACCTCAGTTTGCAAATGTCCTCTATCAGAGACTGAGACCTCACAGTGCAAGCGCTCTAGGCCACGCCCATGTCTCCACTCTGCACGGAGATCAGCTGATCAGCTGCAGGAGAAAGCTTATCCTGTAGTGTGGGCAGCACAGATGTGCAGAAGTACTAAATAATTTAAAATAATTTATTTCAAATAAAAATTTCATGCCGATCGTGCGGCTCATCCATCAGTCAGCCAATTGTGTGTCATGTCCAATCTTACTTTGAAAAACCGCGATAGAGCGAGTCCGTGAAAAACAAACCGCGAAGTAGCGAGGGACTACTGTGTACTCTGAATTGATGGCAGCGTGTGTTTGAGGTGACACAGTTTAGTAAGGCTCTCTCCTGGATGCCTCAGACCTCCAGGGGAAACACAGATGTTCGACTTTCTTTCTTAAGTCCCAGTGAGACCAGCTTTTTCTCCTGAACGTCTGTGTTACTCACTTCTCACTAATCCCTACACACTAACCTACATTTTCCCGCAGCTGCTCAGCTAGTGAAGGTGAAGTAATTTACATTGTAGCATCATGTCACAGAAGCTTTCACTGCCCGCGTGTCACTGCTTTACAAAGAGTGCATTAGCTTGTTTTCAAACTACCTTTCAAGCAATCAAATTTATTGTAAAACCTGCCCTTTTATCATTTTTACAACCCGGTGATTCCCCTTAATCAACCAACTGGATCTATTCACGTCAATGCAGCTCACCGCTCCAGAGGTTTTATTCAGTTGCAGAAGTCAGTCGTTCAGACACCTCTCTGCACCCACTTCATGCAAATCTCTCAGAAGGGACTTTGCCTGCCCTGCTGACTCACTGACCTCCTGCTACAGATGGCTGTGCCAGCAGGACAAACCTCACACATGGCATTTTGCATGATGAAAGAGTGTGTTTGAACGTGTGTCATGCTGTGAAACTAGTGCTGGTAGGAAACTGTCTCACTGGAGTAATCAAGAAGTGTCTTCGCTGGTAAACAGCAGGGAAGCTGGGACCTGAGGAAAGTTTAGAAACGACCAGAAGGTTGAGTGCTGAATGTCGTTGCAGAAATTTGTTAAAGAAGCTGAACTGTCCCTTTTTAAAAAAGCAGAACAAAAGCTTGAATTTAGCGATGCACGATATTGGATTTTTGGCTGATATTCGATACGCAGATAGGTTAAAACTTATTTGGCCGATAACCGATACCAATACCAATATTTTTCCCCTAGACCTACTTACAGAGACTACATAGCTTTTTATGCTATGGAATTAAAATACTACATTATTCTGCATGGTCTTTGCCAGTTTGACCAGCTACCAAATGTAGATGCCAAAAAGGGGTTGAAAATGATGTAACACTTCAACTTGGATTATGTTTAATGTCAGATTTTGTCATTGGGTTGTCATACAAAAACAGCACCTTATAATATATAAATATGCCATTGCTGACACAACCCTCACCATTTACCTGGGCTTGGGACCGGCACAAGAGATACACTGGCTTGTGCTCCCTAGTGGGGTGTTTATTTACATATATATATATATATATATATATATATATATATATATATATATATACATATATACATATATATATATATGCACCTTTTATATCGGTGAGTTATTTTGATGGAATTGCCGATATCAGATATTTAACTTTAACGCAAATTTCGGCCAATACTGATACCATGCCGATAACATCATCCCTACTTAAATTAGCAATTAACAGCCAGCTAACAACAGCAAAACTGCTGCTTCATGCTAAACTCAGGAAAACTATAGCTAAATATAGCTAAAAGGTAAAATCAGGAAAACCATAACCAAAAGCTGAAACCAGGCAAACCACAGCTAAAACTAAAAATGAGCAAACTGTAGCTAAAGCTAAAAATTTTACACAGTGTGACTTAATTTAGTATTTTATTGCTCTGCGTTTCTGTTTCTCTTTTGATGCTTGTAATTAATTTTTTAGCAGTAGTTAAATACTGAAATTAGGTAATTGTAACTAAGATTTAAAATAAGCATAACCGTAGCTAAAATTATAAACAGATTCTTCATAATGTCATTGTCACTGGCAGAAGAGGTTTGAAACGACTAAACTCAAGGCCATAATTTAAACCAATCAGATTAGAGAACACATGATGCACTCAGTCACACGAGCAAAAAATTTGCTGAAGTTTGCATTTCTGAGCCAACACGTTCAGAACAAGACACAGACGCAGCATTAACACGTACACAGTATAGTCAGTCTAAATGTTGTGCTTGGTACTGGATGGAGAAGTCTTCACAGACATCCTTTGTGTTAAAGAATGCTGACAGAATCCTCCTCGCCTCCCTCTGCCTGCAACAGGCAGCAGCATTATCATCACATATTGGATGAATATTTGCTGTGGTCTTTAGATTATTAATTTACTATGCCTCTAAATGGTAGAGCAGAAAAATCAAGTCTTCACAAGAATTTAAAAAAAAAAAATGTATGAAGGGCTTTACATCTGGGTAAAAACATTAAACATCTGGACTAAAGAAGAAAAAGAAACTGCATGATCTTCAGAAACACTCAGTTCCCTCCATTTTTGCCAAACAAGTCTTTTAGCCTGGATGTCATCAGAAATGATTTCACTTCCCTCGACCACGACATGCTGACTCTTTTGTCGTGGTCTTGGTTTGTTCTTTTTTTTTTTTTTTTTTTTTGATGCATCAAATACTGATGTCGCAAAATACAGTTACACCATGCAGTCAAATTACATTTGTTCAAATTACATTTTACATGAATTCAGGAACTGACAGCAGCAGCTAAAGCCATTGTTTCCCTTCACGGTGACTAGCCATGAAGAGTTTCGGTTTGTTCTGCAGAGGTTTTGGTTATCCTCCCGTGAGCTTTCTGATTTCTCTCCAATATGACAGAGGTGAACAGAGGGAGGACTGTTTCTCTGTGCGCAGTCTGGATCTTACAGAGCAGCCTGTCTGTACACAACAAAAAGAGGAGAGCAAAATGGAACTGGACGGATGAGAAAGATGAAACTATCTAATAAGAAAAGGACCAAACTGAGATATTACTGATGAGGCAGCAGAGACCTTCATGATGTTCGCATTTGTGCTTTAACCTGATCAAATCAGTGTGTCACAAAACCCATTAGATAATCTGTTATAATATACTTTTAAAAGAACTTGTTCAAAATTATGTTGATTCTAAAAAAATGTATTTTTTTTTTTTTTACTGTTAGTCAAAACGAGGTCTGAATTATGAACTTACAGTATATGAGCTGCACGCTGTTTTGGGACTTTGTCATTGAAGCATATGTATGCATGAATATTAAAGCAAACTTTATTCCTACTGCTGTAGCCGTCAGTGCAATAAATAAAACACATAGTGAATCGTATTGTGATGAAAGACTAAATTGTATGGTGATATATTGGACAAAACACTCTAACAAGGTTGTTAAGAAGGATGCAAGCACTCAAGGTGCTTAAAAAGCTAAACATCTCCATTGAAGTGTGAGCCCAGTTCTACAGAGCCACCATCAAGAGCATCCTGACCTCTTCCATGTCAGTGTTTCACCCTAGCTCTACTGTCCACAATAAACATCAGCTTCATCACCTCATCAAGCTGAGCAGTAAAGAGACTAGAAAACATCAATGGTCAATGAAAGACCTGCACAGGTCCAGGGTCGTGAGACAGGCTTGGAAGGTAGCACAGAACATAAGTCACCCTGCACAACGCCGTCTATACAGCACATGACAAATGTACCAAATTATACAGCAATATACCAGACTTATATAACCTTTGACCTTGATTTGTGTCCTTAACCTTGGTGTTGGGGTGATGAAAAGAATACGGGACATGGTACAAATGTGTATCAAGTTTTGTTAAATTATCTTGAGGAGAATTAATGAGCAGAACAAAAGAAAGTTTACGGATGTACAAACGGATGAACAGAGACTATACCATAATACGTTCGCCTTCGATGGGCAAATTAAACTGGCATATTAAACCAGCCTGATCAAGAAAGCTCATCAGAGACTCTACTTCCTCAGACGGCTGAGACGAGCTGGTCTGGGAAGCTCAGTCCTCACCTCCTTCTACAGGTGTGCAGTGGAGAGCATCCTGTGCTCAAGCATCAACGTGTGGCATGGAGGCTGCACAGCTGCAGAAAGAACAGCTTTGCAGAGAGTGGTGAAGGCTGCACAGAAGATGTTGGAGTCAGCCTCCCCGCCATCACAGCCATTTACGCCTCTAGATGCAGGAAGAGGACCACCTGCATCATGAAGGACCCCACTCACCCAGCACACACACACTTTTTGCCCCGCTCCCCTCAGGCAGAAGATTGAGGAGCATTAAGTGTAGAACTACTAGACTGAGGAACAGCTTCTACCCTGAAGCTGTTAAGACTCGTGAATCTCTAATCAGGATAATCACTGTGGAAAATAATCACTGTAATCGCCACTTTGCTTTGTGATATGTGCTGCTGATTATCCATGCTGCTGATCTCATGCTGCAAATTATTTCATGTTGCTGTATTTATTCGTACTCATCTACTCACACAGACTCATGTTCGTGCCGCTGTTGTTCGGCGTATTGTTTTGCACTATTAGTGTTTAGCGTATTTCTTAAATCTTAAATCTTATTACTGTTTCTTTTTACAATTTATATTTTTGCTATTGTTGGATGTAACTGGGACTCTGTGTACATAATTTTGTTCCACCTCATGTACCACACGTGATGTGAATGATAATAAAACCTTCTTGAACTTGAATGTTTTCCCCACTGCTGTCTCCTTTAACAGCTGCTCCTGCAGCTGCACTGTAACCAGGAGACACTCCTGTGTACACATCCCAGAACTTTTGGTGAAATAAATGTAATTGTGAATAAGAACCGAATTAAATCTTAATTCAAATCTTAATCATATAGTGAATAATGATTGAATTGTTTCTCAATTAAAGGCCCAACTGGACGGTGATTGAATATTAAAATACATTGTGATTAAAAGCAGAATTGTATTGTGTCATATCGTATTGTAGCCAACTGTGTATCTTCAATTAATCTGATCATATTGGCCACAAAACAGAGATTCGTAACAGCAACCCACTTCCGACTTCTTTGCTTTGAGCAAAACATGTACAACTAGTGCTTTGAAAAAAAATTAGTGGTAGGAAATGATTCGCATCAACACAAATTTTTTTCTAGTACCAAAGAATGACTTGTTGATAGAAAAAGAAAAAAAAAGCTCTAGGAATAGTCCTTGAGTTACACCACCTGAATTACTTCTTAACATAGTGTCTTTTGAGAAATGTTTCGAAGACAGAATATAAAACCAGAGCCACACAAGTGGAGGAATCCTAGTTTTGAGAGTTTGGGTCAACTGTCAACTCGTGTGCTTCATTCATCTTACCGAAGACAACGAGGATGAAGAGGAATGTCGCCACTCCTGCTGTAATGTAGAACATGGTGCTGATGTGGTGAGCCAGCTCATCCATGTCGGCCACATTAGGCACCAGAATGGGAGGTAAGAGGAACCCGATGGCAACACCCAGCTGTATGGAAATAAACACATTCAAGACGAATATCAAAGAGAGAAAAGTTCAGAGGAGAAAACAAGTGATACTTTGTTTATATTTTCACTTTTTTTTTTAATTCCAATCTAATTCATTCTGACTAAAGTGTTTTACTTTTTGTTTTACGGAAAAAATATCTGCATGTTATGAGGAAACTTTTATTGTGATAATTAATCGAAATGTAAGTGTGAATTTACAATTTTAGAAATGTCTCACAGTAAAAGTCTTGAGCCTACCTCCACATCATTAAAAAAAGATGGCCTCTGGTACATGTGTACACTTTCAGAACTAACTATTTCTCACAAAGTATTTTTCCCCTAGATTTGCAGAATCTAAATGAAACAATTAAGAGTAATAAAGAATGAATTGAAATGAAAGCTTGTAAGAAAGATTTACCACCGTCGGACATTTTCAGGTATCCCATCCTGATTTACATACAGCTCATGTGCGGACACTGCATCAGGGCAAGGTATTAACTTTTAATTAATTTAATTTTTCTCACAAACCTGATTTCCCAGAACCCCAATGGAACAAGCGGTGGAAACCTCATGCTCTCCGAACCACACCGAAGCAAGATAAGATGGAATACCAAGAACAAACACTGTGGCTACCGAGCACACAAACTGACCGACAACTGTGACGGAGAACATATCTGGACTGGCACTGCCAATTTTAATCCAAGCCCCAATGCAGTTAAACGCTGACCCAACTAGCACAGCGTCCCGGATGCCCCTGTTGTCCAGGAGCCAGAGGACGGGCAGAATAAGTGGGATGTAAGTGAATAGGTAGATCAAAGACAACCAGTCAATAGCCAGAGGGTCGATGCTATAGAAGCGCATGAATATGTTACTTATGGTGCCATACTGGAGCCACATGGACGCATTACTGGCCGAGACGCAACTGAAGAGGAACAGCATGAACCAGCGGCGATGGTAAAGTTCGGCTCCTGCCTCTGCTCGATCATACAAAGCCCTGATGTCCAATGGCGAGCCAGCGGAGAGGGACTTTTCCAGACGCCCCGGACTCCTCTGTGCCGACGCCAGTCCTGGAGAGAGACTCCTTGCAGCCTTGGACCGTGGCCATTCTTTAACAGCAAGTTCAGAATTTGTACGGTTTCCATTTAATGTATTGTGTGGCATTTTATCTGTCCAAAAGTGGGACCAACCCCTTAACCCCCCTCCTGTCAGGAACATGCAAATCAAGCGGTCTTATGTAGACAAAGTCCCAGCGGCTTGCTGTCCCAAGTGCAAACTGCTCGAAGCAGAAAAATGCAAAAGAAGTGAGTGCTGCTGGAGTGGTGTCTCGTGTCCCTTCTCACCACATGTGATATGACTGAACCTCTTCACTGAGTCTACACCTAGTCATTATCTTCAGCCCTGTCATGGGATGTCAACAGTGAACAGTTCTACAAAAATCCCCTCCTACCAACTGTCCAAACGCATCTGAAAACAGAATAAATGACCTACTAAACAGATGAAATCTAACATAAATATGAGGAAGTCATGCCTAAGGTTGATTTTTGCCATTGTTCTCCTTATTTGACTCTGTTGTGCGAGCTGAGGTGGTTGACATACAGAAAGTCTAAAAAGGTTTGATGCTACTTACTGAAACTGTGTCTAAACTCGCGCAACTTTTCTAGCACAATTTTTTTTTCCTGACATTTACTGCGGAGTTGATGCTAAGGTGACTCAAGTGTTGTTTACTCAGAAACTTTTCGTGGTAACTCTGGTGCTGGTGTGCTTAATGCCAACAGTGGCTCTCTGCTCATCCTCGCACATGGTGTACACACTTCATGTCGCTGAAATTTTAATCTCCCGTTGTACCAAGCTTAATTTTTTTTTTTTTTTTAAAACACCAACAGCTGCTAAACTTGAGTGGGCACATTTCTTGAAGAAAAAATGTGAGCCATTACATTTGGAATGTTGCTTGTGCAACGTAATCTAACGCTTTGTTCACACTGCAGGCTGAAGTGCTCCAATAGTGACTGATATCTGATTTTATTTTGACAGTCTGAACGAGGGAAATCATATTTTTTTTTAATCAAACCATTATAAAATGGATACATATCTGATGTTTTTTTAACCCCCCCCCACCTCCCCAGTCTGAACAATCGTGTTACATTTCATATGGCTTTTAAGTAGGCCTGTCGCGATAAACAATAAATCAATAAAGCACACGATGAATGAAAATTATCAACCTCATTTTCATTTACCGGCTTTATGGTTTCTTTGTGTCTCACTCTTTCTACTGAAGACACGGCTCAACTCCGGTGCTCTTCACTGACCCATCCCTTTCTCTTTTCTCTTTAAACTCTGTTTTAATCGTCCAAAATCTTGTTTTTGGATCGTTAAAAGCAGCTAAGCTGAGAAGCTACGCTACGAGCTAAGCTAACAGGCCGACCTCGGGAATAAACCTGCGTCTTGTCGAAGCTCCAAAATTCACGGTTGAAACCCGTGCCTTGGTGTAAAAAGTTGTTTTCCTCTGCAAAAAGAAGCTGAGAACTTGTTTACTGCTTTTTTTATTAAAAGCTTTGTGTGAAAAATGCTAAATAAAGAGCTCAAATCACAGAGCGTCTGCCATGTCACCTTGTCAGCCCATGTCACGTCAAGGGCCCTCCCTCCCATTTTTCTTAAAGAGACACGCTGCTCAACTATCCATCCTTTGGTTCAACGAGTCTTATACTGCCATCAGGTGGACAAAAAAGGTACTACACTCCAAACAAATCTAAACTTTGACAATTGACTATTGTTAAATTTCAAACAATATTATCGTTTATCACAATAATTTCTGAGACAATTAATCGCCCAGCAAAATTTGTTATAGTGACAGGCCTACTTTTAAGTCATTTAAGTAGTGGTACACAGATCGATCCGAGTATTGATATTATCGACACCAACGTCAAGCAGTTTAAAGCTCGAAACATCTCTCGTCTTCAGTTACACAACAGAAGTCCAGCTGTTTTTACAATTTAGATTTGTCATGTCAGATGACTGAGGATCTACAGCATCATATGATCCTAATGTTGGTGTCGGACCGTATCGATGTTAGCGTGATGGAATCGACACTTGAGTTAGTTTCTACTGTTAGGACATCGCTCATTCCAGAAGTGCAATTCTGTGCCGGATTAGGCGATGTAATCAATGGACGAAACAAGCATGGCAGATAATAATTTAGTTGTCTCTGATTGGACAGCAACTTCAGGACTGACACATGCTAACATGAGTCACGTCTTCTTTGTATGTGGGTCATTTCAGGGCTGTGGACTGTTCACACTGGAGATGGTGCTTGTGGGTGATTTATAATGTCAATGGCAAGTAGAAAAATTAGATCCAAGCATACAATTGGAATTAAACTTTAAAAACCGCCGTGTGAACATAGTGTTCTTTCTTCTTCTGCTCCCTTCTTCAGGGGTCGCCACAGTGAACTAACTCACATGAAGACTTGGTAATTGTTTTTACGTCGGATGTCCTTCCTGACACAACCACAGACCACCGAGCTACCACAGCCCTCTGTGTGGAGCAGAGAGCTGCTATCTAGGGCACCCGGGGGAGCAGATGGTGGGAATTAAGGGTCTTGCTCAAGGGCCCAGAGTGGGACGAATGAGGGTGGAGACAGGTGTGTGTGTTTCACCTTTCCCACCCACATTTAGTTTTTTATGTCATTGGTCCTGGGAGTCAACCCGGTGACCTTCAGATCAGATGTTTCTAACCTCTGCGCCACCAGTCCCCAGTATGAACATAGTGTAAGCACATGGTGATGTGATGGTTTGTTTACACTGTATTTTCAGTACATTTTAAACTGTGCTGTCTTCGCAAATGGTTTTGCACCGTGCTGTTCCTGCTACTGTGATAATCTAATTTCCTCACTGAGGATTAATAAAGTTGTCTATTCTATTCTATTCTATAATATTGGCTTTATTTTGGTTTTAATTTGGTTTTAGTTTTCTACATCGCCTTACAACTTAGCTGGGGTTTTTTTGTTACATTTTTTTTTTTAAATACCATTTTATTTTCACTTGTTATTCTCAATTTGTATTCATCCTTGCATGGTCGTTTACTGTTGTCTTTGTTGTCATCACTCTTTGTTTAAAACAGGTCTCTCTTGTAAATGAGTCCCAGAGGCTCAATGGGACTAACCTGTATAAATAAAGGTTAAATGAACGGTTCTATTCTCTACAGTGCAGAGGGATTTATTTTTACTTTATTTTAGTGTTACTGTGCTAATCTTGCCATCTCAACAGATTGTTAATGGGATAAAAGGTCACAAAAAAAAGCCCACAACTGATGGCTATTAGCAAAATAATAACATGCATGCATCTGGATTGTATGCACCTGAAACTTTATAACATTTTCAATCAGTCTGGAAACAATGATGTGCTATCAGAAAATCCTGCTGCAACATTCCTACAGGCAAGACAACAACAAAATAAATAAAACCTAAGGCCTACTTTTGCTGAAAAGCCAAGACTTAAACATTAAATTCACAATAGCTTTGGTTTTCTTGAGATTCTTATTAAAATGTTTTCTTAAACAAACTTCACGAAGAACACGTTATTGCCTGTGTCCTTCTGTGTGTTTGTCGATGTATGTCTGTTAGCAATGTTGAGAAAGAAATCATTAAATGTACATGTATGACTGATTACCTTTTAAAGTTAATCTGATTAAAACTGGTCACCGTTGCTAATAGACTTTAGGAACAAGCCAACAGCTACAACTCTTTCAATATTACAGATATTGAGTTTAGATTTGGTGTGATGAGAGCCAAGAGTCCCCCTCAACACATACTTTGATGAAAACCGTGTTTCAAACATTAGCATTAAAGTTTTAACTCTCTCTTACGTAGCTAAAACATTTTATGAAACAGAATACATTTTATTAATCTCTCAGAAGCTAATGATTGAATGTACATCTACTGCTAATAAATATTTGGAGTCAGAATCCAAATGGCCACCACAGCTAATCAACTTTAGCAAACACGTAAAACACTATGACTATGGTTAGAAAGACCAACATCCCCATCACATCTCCAAGCAATAGCAGACGATTTTTGATTAAAAGTTAAGCGTACGTGGTTCAAAATATTCTGATGCATGCTCAATAATCCCGGTAGAAAAAGTGAAGGAGGCCATCTTTGTGAAAAGAACCCGTCCATCATTAAACAGGAGCGGAGACCTCCGTGTCCAACTGTCCCCCTCTTATAATGCTGTTATTGCTAGTATCACTCAGCCTCCTGTGAATAGCAAACAGCCATCAGGGTGCTAACAACTACACCTGTCACGATAACAAATTTTGCTGAGCAATTAATTATCTCAGAAATTATTGCGATAAACGATAACATTGTTTGAAATTTGACTATAATTAGTAATTATTGTCAAATTTAAGAAGAAACGTTGGTTAATTTGTTTTGCTTGTAGTACTTTTTTTCGACCATCGGATAGCAGTATAAGACTGAACCAAAGGATGGATGGTGAGGGAGCGAGCAGCGTGTCTCTTTCAGAAAAATGGGAGGGAGGCCCCTTGATGTGACATGGGCTGTCTCTCTTTGGTTCTCAAAATGGCGGACGCTCGGTGTGGTTTGAGCTCCTAGCGTAGCATTTTTCACACAAAGCTTTTAATAAAAAATACGTAAATAAGTTCTCAGCTTTTTTTTTTTTTTTTTTTCAGAGAAAAACAACTTTTTACACAAAGGCACGGATTTCAACCTTGAATTTTGGAGCTTCGACAAGACGGATGTTTTCCCCCGTGGTCGGCCTGTTAGCTTAGCTCTTAGCTTAACTTCTCCGCTTATCTGCTTTTAACGATCCAAAAACGCGATTTTGGATGGTTAAAATGGATTTTAACGCGAAAGGAGAAAGGGAGGGGTCAACGAAGAGCACTGGAGTTGAGCCTTTTGTCATCCAGTGTCTTCAATAGAAAGAGAGACACGAAGAAATAATAAAGCCAATAAATGAAAATGAGGTTGATCATTTTAATTTATCATGCGATTAATTGATTTATGGTTTATCGCGACAGGCCTACTAACAACCAATTGTCCGGCTGATGATCCTCCTTTATCATGTCAACAACAAACTGGTTGATCTACTATGAGAAGGTGCTATTTATAAGACTGGGTTTATTGCAGCTCCTCAGACTGACAAGTCTTTTGGATAGCAGAAGAAATGTTTCTACAAGTTTTTAATTTTATTTTTAATATCTGTTCAGAGGACCTGACTTAACTTTGTTAGATTAAGCATACATGGTGGCAGGCAATAAGTATTCAGTCAAGGAATGCTGGTTTTTATTTTGTTCTACATACAAGGACAGTGACCGCCATGGAGATGATTTAAGGGCCACTTCTGGCCCGCGGGCCGTATGTTGGCCGCACTTACCTCAAAGTGATATGAGGCAAATAAATAAAGCAGCTAATTATTTATTTATTGCACATCTGTCCAGACTGAGACCAACAGACCAGTCAGGTGATTACTAAACCCAACCCACTTCGATGAGCCCAGTTGCATCACCTGATTCCCGAAGACTCCGATGGAGCAGGCGGTGGACACCTCCTCCGAACCGAACCAGACCGAGGCGATCCTGGACGGCATGCCCAGGATGAAGACCTGCGCGAACGAGCAGCAGAACTGGCCCAGGAAGGTGACCGGGAACAGGTCGGGCCGGACGCTGGCCACTTTGACCCACGTCCCCGCGCAGTTGAGCGCGGTGGCCACGAGAGCCACGACCCGGAGCCCCTTTCTGTCCAGCAGCCAGGTCACCGGGAAGATGAACGGGATGTACGTCAGCATGTAGATCATGGACATCCAGTCTATAGTGAAGGCGTCCACCTTGTAGAAACCCATGAAAATGTTGCCGATGATGCCGTACTGGATCCATTGGTAGGAGTTGCACAGCGAGTAGGAGCTGAAGAGGAGCACGATCAGCCAGCGCCGTCTGTACAGGCGGGTGGGCGGAGCTTCGAGGCCGGCCTCCACAGGCTGATCGCCGGGGAGCGTCTCGCTGTCCTCCGCCTCCAGCCCGATATGGTGGTTCTCCAAGACCTCCTCACGCTGCTCCGCGTAGTCTCCCGGCGTTGGTTTCTCGTTCATGTCCAAGTCGTCTCGGTCTCATAGATGACAGTGTGTTTCATCTGCTGTCAGTGACAGGAGAAGTTGAGTTACAGCAAATATCCAGGATCACAACAGAAGTTTCTCTTGAGGCGCTCATTTCCTTCCAGAAGTAGTTTAGAACTCAAACTTTTGTACTCTCAAGTCACTAAAAAAAGATAAACAAGGTAAATAATGACTTGTTGGGTGAGTGTTAGATAAGTTCTCTCGAGCGTGAACACGTGTTATGACCCCCACCCGGACCTAATGCCATTGCTTCAGATCCTAAAAGATCAAGTCGGTCGGTTAAACTCGGTGTGGTGGGCGGAGTTTAATCAAACTGTTCGGACCAGTATGGAAGCCCATTAATGCCACTTGATTGGAAAAAAATAAAATAAAATTACACTGTGCGTCATATTAAGGATTGTCAAAGCCCGAATTATGGTACGTAAAGCCACAAATAAGTAGTTTAAAGTCATATGTACCGTATAAAAATCAATATTACAAAACAAAAAGCCATTAAGAATTAAGAAAATATCTGTAGGCCGTTTTTAAAACTGTCTATTGTTGTCGCTGTTTTCCATTGTTGTCGTCATTCTTTGTTGATGTCAGGTCTCTCTTGTAAATGAGTCCTTGAGGCTCAATGGGATTTACCTGTCTAAATAAAGGTTGAATGAATGAAAAATCATATGTACAAAATGACAAGTTATATTCAGTGTTAGTCTTCTGTTGTGAGATACAAAGTCTTAGTTATGAAATACATCATTATAAGACACACAGTCCTTATTGAGAGATACGGTCATATTATGAGGCGCAATAGTCCCTCGTTTGTCGCGGGGGATCCGTACCCTGAAGACCCGCGATAAGTGAAAAAAACGCGAAGTAGGAATAGTAGTACAAGTAGTAGTTTATTTTATTATTTATATAGATATATATTAAGGCGTTTTAAACCTTTCCCATACTCTTGCAATATTCTAAACAATGTTTCTAAACTCTAAATGCTCTGGAAGAGCACATAATGTCATGATTTCAGCTCCTTGCCTCGTCTGCTCTTCCTGCTGCTCTTGGGCTGCACAAATGTGCAGTAGGTGCTAAATAATTTAAAATAACTTATTTTAAATAAAAAGTCTATGCCATGCATGTAGCTCATCCATCCATCAGCCAATTGTGTCATGTCCAATCTGGTTTTGAAAAACCGCGATAGAGCGAATCCGCGATAAACGAAACATGAAATAGTGAGGGACGAATATACTAAATTGTTTTTATGAGATAGACTTTTGTGGGGCCGAGATGGGATGGGGTAGAGGCAGGGCCCAGACTCGGGATCCAAAAGTCCCAGGCTCAATCCCCAGTCATTGCACATCTCGTGGTGTCTCTGAGCAGGACACCCTATCCCCAATCACTCCCCCGGCACCCTCAACAGCTGCCCACCTGAGCATATTCCAGGTGCGATGGGTTAAATGCACAGTCAATTATAATTAATAATTATTATTATTAATACAGTGTAATCTATATGAAATGCAAAGCCATATGAATAAGACAGTTACTATTATAAAATAAAACACTATAATTTTGGGACACAGAATCATCATTATGAGTTAAATTAGTAGTCACTAAATAATTTTACACGATAAAAGCCAGTTATATAATGTGCAAAATCATATTTGTGAGATAATGTCATAATTATGGGATTAAAGTGAATTATTAGATGCAAAGTCCTATTGATATAATGAAATGTTATTGAAATACAAATTCATTGCTATGAGTTTTAAAATCTAAATTTTGAAAGACATAGTTGTGACTATAAAACTTGTAATGACTTTGAAACCCATAATCATGTCATATATGTCATATATATATATATATATATATGACATATATGAC